AAAAACACCGCTACTTGCCACCTCATGCCTCAGGCCTCGCTGCTGCGATCCCCACCAATGTCCAACCAGAGCTTCAGATCGCCACTGCAGCGAAGCCTGGGTAGACGGGCACGGTGAAGGAAAACGGCGGAAGGAATTTGGAGGTCACCCTAAGTTGAGAAAAAATGTCCAACAACAGAAGGATTTCTGGAGATTGTGAAGGTTCTTTGGAAAGGGACTCCCTTCAATTGGCAGCTTGGCCTTCGGCTGACCCCGGCCATGGGCCCAGTCGAGCAGATTCTCTGGCCGCTCCGCTCCCACCGAGCCGCTGCTCACAATAGCGCTGGAGCCGCTCCGGCTCTTGGAAGCAATCCAACCACTCGAAGCTCAGCGCAGGAAACCTCTGACGGCTCTCCTGGGAGCGAGCAGCGCCAAGCGCTGTTCGCTCCAGGGGCCGAGGTGAAAACAGAAACCGAAGGTAAACCGAAGCATCCAACCAAGTTTGGATGGCACAACCCACAGCTGGACTACTATCAGGATGAGTGTGGATGAATTTTTGACAAGGGTCAGGGGCAAGTTGAGTCTCTTCACGTCAAGTCCACCCCAGTCATCCAGCTACCACTCAGTCTCCTCAACGAGTGCTTCACTGACCTCGATGCCCAGCACTGCTGCCGCGTGGGAGCTTAAGACTGCAGTGCACTCCTCAGGGTAACATTCAACCAGAGAGATTGAAAGCATGGAGTGTGGAGAAAAAGAGAGAAAACATGCCAACCATGCTGAATTTGAAGAGTCTTCAAACCACGTGGATGTTAAAGTGATCGAACCTAACCCCAAATCTTCCGTGAACAAATCTCCCGGTACTGCAACTTTTGCACTAGACAGCATGACTGAACGGTTCCTATAACGAAGTTCCCCACCGAATGGGCCATTGCCATTTTCCGTGGCCCGGTCCACATGGCTCGTGCGCGCTTCGTCTTCGGCGTCCAAGGCTCTCCCAAGGAAGAGCCGATCTCCAGCACGCTGTCAGCCTTTCCACGTTGCTGTTCTTTAACGCTTTAACGCATCAGGATGCATTCACCTGCTGTGTGGAACAGCTTCAGCCTGTTTTCTTCAGCCGTTCCTCCAAGAAAAATACTGCAAATGACTTTCAAAGGACACATGGAAGAGCCACCATCGCCACACCATCGCCAATATCCGTCAGGTCCGGGGCCCTTCTTCGTCAACTCAGGTGCCAGCCTTCCGACGCTTAAAGGCACCCAAGTCGACGCTTGGAAAGGGGAGAGACTCGTGTGGAGGGCCGTTGGACGCCTGTCCCGGAATTGTTTTAAGGGAAAATCTATATAGGAAACCTCGAGTTTCGGAGGATGAAAACCATGGCTTCCTGCATTCAACGGGATGGAATGCTTTCGTCACAGCTGTGCCTTCGTCGCATGTGACTTCGCCAGTCTTCGATAGCACACCGTGTCGTTCAGCACCAGTAGGCGGCGTCGCAGGCGAAGCCTCGTTGCGAGGACATGTTCCAACAAGGTGCAACAAGATCCTAGAGCGTCCCAAAATTCCCCATGGTGTCTGGTTTCTAGAGGTGGAGAGATACCTGTTCCAACGAAGTGCTCCCACATCAATGATCCATGTACCAAGCTTGGAACTAAAAGTAAACTGCTATTTGACACCGCCGAAGTTCCTCAGAACCTGATCCCACCCAAATCAATGAAAAGATGTGAAAAAGAAATGCAAAACCATGCCAAACCCGCCCTCGTCGGTGGATTTTCAACCAAATCCGCCGCCTCTTGTATGACCGAATCCAGAATTCGAGTGATGGAAACCCCGGGTTTCGCAGGGCTATCGCGGGCCGCTGACACCCCTCCGAGCCCCCAGTTCCGGCACCGTAAGGGGCTTCGCAGCTCCTCCAGTTCCAGGCAGGGGCTTTTCGAGCGAAGGACAGTTTCACCTGCACAAAGCCCAAGACGACAAGCAAATCCCAATGGCCAATCGAAACTAGCAACGCACATGACGCTCCTTTGGCGGTTTACACCCACAACGTAGTCTACCAAATTGATCTCATCCGGGTTGCTATTCTATTCTTCCGCGGGTTTGGCCATGTTGGTGATTTCCTGAACCTTCCGACATACACAGCAGTGCCCCAAGTGCTGAGAGGGGTGTCACAGCAGTGTCACTTTGTGCAGCTGAGTTGTGGTGAAAACCATCAGACTAGTAACTAGTAATCATCACTCATTGACTTCCCTCAGCACTTGAAGCTACAAAGCTTCCTGGAATGACCAGCTTGGAAGGTTCAAAAACTTTGTCACCCTGCAGTGTCCAGCGATGCTGGAACTTGTTCTCATCATTCTTTGGGGTGTGGGTAGCTCAGATGTCTGATTTACATATCTAGAGATTTTAGTATTTATAGCCTCAAACAACTAACAAAACATTCGACTGCGACATGCATGCAGCAGCCACTACCTGCCTCCAAGTCTTTGTGCCTTTACAACCAACAACAAGCTTAGCCACTCACACTGGGGCTCTGTGACTCTTTGTGTCATGGCATCCAACAACTGTTTGGGCCAACCTGAGCCCTGCTAAGAACTTGACACAGGTCTCATGCAAGCAAACTTGGCGTGACTACAAAGATGGATGTATCTAGAGATCAAGTATCTTTGGGTTCCAAGAAATAAATCATCCGAATTCTCGAAAGCATTTGAAAGAGCTAACCCATATTGGCTTCTGCATATCTTGTGTACTAAAAGAGACCCCCAGGAGTCCTTGTCTACTCCCATGCCTCTATGTCTTTGCATTCCTCGGATGCATCCTACATGAGCTCCACAGTCCAAACGTGCCCGCCTTGCGCCCAGCCGCTGTGGAAATCCCCACGAGTAGCGCCCGCACGCTGGCAGCACTCCCAGCGGTGAGATGCGAAGGGAAGTTCCATGGCTTGGTGAAGAATCTGGATGATCCAAGGTCAAATGTCTTCATATGTAGATTCTTCTAAGTTCTAAGTGGGCAAACGTCCCATGGCAGGAGAGACCTTGTATTGCTGGCTCTGTTGTGCTGGGAATATGAAGGCAAAGGCCAGCAGCTTGTGGGAAGTTGAGTGGAGTAGGCCCGCTAGGCTTCTCAAGACCTTTGATCGATTCTCAATATGCAGGTCGGTAACTTGCAAATTGAGCAACAATTGTCCCTTCCAGTTGTGGAAGCACCATCTATCTGGGTCTGCCTCGGTTCCGAGGCAGATCTTTAGTTTGGACGGGGTGTGGGCTTTCCGCGGCTCAGACACAGCTGTTGGAAGCTCTCCGCTGGGTGTTCTTCTCACACTTGAAAGCCACGTGGAAGCAACGTAGCTTCGGTCGCCAGTGGCTGCACATGACCCTGGCAAAGGCACATATATGTCTCACCACCAAACACCTGAACCCATCGAACTGCTAAAAACCTCAACATAGACTTCTTCAATTCATGTGTGTTGGATCCCCTTTTGTACAGGCAGGTCGACCAGAGCCCAGTCAGTTTTCTCCGACCTGTCACCCCATTTCGCCTCGCCTCGCCTCGGCCCGAAACCCCATGTCGCTCCCCATGTCGCTCGCTCGCTGTCCTGCTGACAGCTGGAGTTCGTGAAGAGCGAGATGGTGCAGCTACCGATCTGACGGAAGTGCGAGTTCGTCATCGATCCGGTGAGTCGATCCGACCACCCCGGAGCCCAGGACTGGTGGCGAGTTCCACCGTTGCACCGTTCCACTCGGGTTGAGTGCTCCAGAGCCTGGCAGGTTGACCTCCCTTTCCGTGGTCTATTCTGTTCAAAACAGGGTTTCCTCCCCTCTTGATCCTCAGATGTGATACCCCTGTAAGCCTCTCTTACCCATCTTGACCCAACATCCTCCATAGTACGGTCCTCCATACACGGACTGAGCATCAGGTTCAAAACCAAAAATTATCGATCTCTCAAACGAAGTAGTTTGGCCAAACGATCGAGCAAAGGACTACAGCTCCAGTGCGAACACGGGAAGGGGTACACCCAACCAACGCTGCATCAAACATGAGGATGAATGCTGCAACAAAGGTTCTCTCCATCTGCCCAGGGACCGCGGAAACGAAGAAAGGCTTTTCTACCAGACATTCCTGGATGCTCACCTCTTGGTCTTTTCCACCAGAAAACTTGAAAGAATAATAAACAGGCCTGGCAAAAGGCTTAGCAATCACCGATATCTGTGTGACATGTCGAATTCCAACTGTGGGCAACCCTCAAGATAGCTTGAGGGACAGCCAATCAATTGTTCACAGAGTTCAACATGGAGAGGGAATCATGCAAGGAAACCATCCCGACGAAACACTCAAAAGGACTTGCACTTTCCAGATGGCTTCTGGATAACATGTCATTAGAGACCCAGAAACTGGAAGTGCCTGGAAGTCAACAAAAAGAAGAGGTTCCCTAAATGAGACTCCATTCATCTATATGGTGTTTTTCTGGCTCGCCATCTTGTCTCTGGTTGCTCTTCCCATGGAGCCAAGGTTCTCAGCCCGTCAAAAGACCTGGCCTGGAAGCCCTGAGATGCTTGGGTCACTTGGATCACCTGGGATCAGCTTCGCTCAGAGATTCTTAGATCTTTCCCAGCACTCTCCGGACGAAATCCAGGATCACCAAGGCAGAAACACGAGATCAAACCGCTTGGAGCTTAGAAGTGGAACAAAAGTGTTGCAAAATATGCTTCCTACAAAGCTCCAGATCTTGGATTTTTGCTCGAGGCCTCTAGATACGGACGGAACATCCAAGTTTCTCTGCAAAATCAGATCTCTAGGGCCGTGGGGGTGTCGCATTTCCACAGACCCAGAGCCAGAAACCAAGAACAGCCTCACGGTGGCCCCACCAACCCAAGCACAGGGGCCCCTAGGCCACAGCGGTCATCGACCCTCTCGCAGGAGGCCTTTCCTCACCAAGGAACGATCAAGCCAACAAGAATCAGCAAGAGCAGCAGCACCACGCCTGGAGCAGCAGGCTGATTGGTTGGTTGCGTTTTGGTTGGTTGGAGCAGCAGCCACAGAAGAAATGCAAGCAAAGCCGTTTTGACACCGGGCTAAAGCTGTGTCGCTCAAAGTCGGCTCCGGGCCAACCCTCGCCAACCCTTGCCTTTGCTTCCTTGTCTGGTCAAAAGTATCATATAAAGCATGGCATACCCTTTGCCTTGTCATTGGTATGGCAAAGACTTCATTGCCAAAACTTATATCAGCCATGGAGAAGAACAGGTGGCCTTTGCCCTTTCAATCGTCTGAAAAGCAAGGGAACAGTTACACCAAAGCTTGTCCACCGGTTCTCCAGTTCCGAAAGTTACTGTATCTTGAGCTACATTCATTCAGAGTCCCTGCTCCTCACTCTCCTCCATCGCCCACCTCCAAAGGTAAACCAGAGCCACTTGCGGCTCTTCTTTTTGGGTCTCTGAATCGGTGCCTTGGCCGGAACGTCCATGCGAGTGAAATTGAACGTCCCTTGCAGGGCGGGTTTCTTCTTTGCAAAGGACACAAGAGATGTTCACCAAAGGTTTTCCAAGTTTTTTTTCTGAAGTAAATTCCTTCACATGCTTGGAAAGAACTTGTTGAGTCTTGGAGGTCCAGCTAGACCTGGGGGTGAGCTTCACTTAGGAGCGGCACTTCTAAAGCCAACTCATAGAGCTCTTCGGCCTCTGTGGCTTCTGGGATGCTGCAGCCCGCCAACCTGCGACCCAGCTTTCCATGTGGGTCAAACGACTTCTGCCAGCAAGAATCACTTCCAGGTCTAGAGTATATGGTACCAGAGTCTACCAGAGGCAGAAAGATCTTTCCAGCAAAGTCCAAGGTCAAAGAGCGCAAGAATCACTGAACTCAGTTTGATTGCCTAAGAAATCCGCACGAGTGAAGTAGCTTCAAATCAGCGACTTTTCTGCTCCATGCAATGCCAAGAGTGTGGGACCTAAAAACTTCTTCTTCTTCTTCTTCCTGAATAAACTTTATCCAGGCTTCGCTAGATGTCCTCTCAAGGCTGCCATCCAGCTATCTTCCTCCCCAATGGCAGAAACCTCATTCTCTGGCCTGAAAATCTCGAAGTGGTTCTTGTACTTCGCAAGGCCCTGCAGTGCGAGGACGGATAAAAGGGAATCTCATGAGAGGGTTTCAATGCAAGAACAACATGCAAGGCATGCGGCAAGCCCCACAAGTTTCTGACCCGACGTGTTGCCTCACGTTGTTGAGTCTGTTTGAGCCCCCTAAACCAACCTGAGAAGAAGGGGTCTGACGAAATCGTCCATTTCAATCAAGGATTTTGAGTTGTGAGTCCCAGAAGTCATTGGAAGGATCTATCTTTTGATATTACATGCCGGTGGGTCAAAACCAGCAGGCCTTGGTTGACCTACTTGGAAGGTCAAGCATTCTTGACCAGGGCTCCAGGTTTTCACCCATCCCTAAATATCTAATCTAATAAACCTGAAGCATCCATTCCTCCGCCACGCCTTCATGATGGCCCTGTCCTCGCTGGCCTTCCGGACTTGCAGCGCGCGCAGGACCTGCGCCGAACGGCCCACTTCAGCATGTCGTGCCGAAGCTGATGTGAAGTGACAGGAGCCCCATGGCTTTACTGAGAATCCACTGGGAAGTGACCGGAATCCCATGTGGTACCGAAGCTGGAACTGCACGGCACACTGAGAATGAGTGGGATCTGCCTGGAAAAAGCCTTCCAACCGAAACATCGTATTTTGACATGTTATGACCGGGTGTGAAGCAGGGCGACGGTGCGATCTTCTCCACTCGGCAGACGCAAACATCCGCACACCAAAGGCCCAAGAGGCCAAGAGGGGCGGTTTTTCCGGAAACCCTTATGGCGGCCCCCCCAGAACATGCGTATCCCACATGAAGTGCATGCTCTTCAGGGTCCCAACCTGAAACAAACCGAACCCAATCGCCCTGCCCAAACAACGCAGCCATCACCTGCCTCAGGCCTTGCGCGGACGATTCGCATGAGCTTCCGCTTGGCCGCGAGCGCCTCCTGGAGAGACCAGCGGTCTGGTGCGCGTCCGGCGTCCGTTTTGATCCGGCTGCGCCTGAGGGGTGTAAACAGAAAAATCTTGACATGGTGCACACTTGCTCGGTGACTGGAAGGCCATATCTCAAATACCCAGCCCGAGAGACTGACAAAAGTCAGCCCCAAACCCCAAACTTGCCAGACCAAAAAGAGGCTAACTCGCAAAATGATGACCATCTTCACATTCAACTTCCGTCGCATCCTCATCGCTGAGGGGTGGTTCAGGTGACACAGCTGGCGGTGGCACCGGTTCCCTTGGCAGGAGGCGGATCAGGCGAGCCGAGTCCAGCAGTTGTTTGGGGTGTTCCTAGCAAAGTCTCCCTATTTCAAGGGTCTTCCTGGCAAAGTAGACATGATCTGTTGGGGGGTTCAATGAGCACTGCCTGAAGGGATGCTGTCGAAGTGAGGGCACCACACATGCCCCTGGCACCTTTAAGATACGCGCTTCCTGCCTCTTGAAAATACCCCATCACTGTCATGTTTTGGATACTGCCCATCACTGTCATGTTCGTACAATCTGCATATGGGCCGTCGAGACAACAAAGACCAAGTAAAACCTCAAAAGCATCTGCTCCTTAGATGTCTCTTGTTGCTTCATTGGCTGCTTGCAAAGACGGATCCAGGACCCAAAAAAGGCCTATATGCAACTCTGTGCAACTCTATGCCTGTGTGTTGCTCTCAGGTTTCCTTGTCAAACAAAAAGCGATCCGACAGGTCCAGTCACCTGGGCCGAGTCGAGCTGCTTAGAGCTGCTTCGAAGCTTGAAAAAACATCACACCAGCTGAGCCTCCGGCATCAACATGAGAATTCCATGGTTGCCATGGTGGAAGTTCCACACCCCAATTCGAAGTCCTTTCTGGACTCCAAACGGAGAATTGTGAGAAACAAGCTGTGGGTATTTGCACACGGCTAAGAATCCTTTAGACTGGTTGGCTGAGAAGTAGAGCTGGCCCCAACACTCAGTCGCCATTGAGAGCACTGGATGTGCCTTAATTGTCATCTAACTGAAGGATGGTCGGTACAAGTTTGAAGGGCTACCACAAACGATATTTGCCTTTCTTAAGCGCTGAAACAGCTGTAACTAGAAACTAGTTCAAACCACTCTCACCTTCCAGAGACAGAAAGGTCACACTCACAAACGGTAATCCAGCTTCTTTCCACCCCTCAAGCAACTCACCCATCAGTCACAATGTCTTGATACACCTAGAACTACAGCCTTGATGGGGAAGCTTTGCAACCTTCATCTTGGTGCCCTTGAGCCAAAATGAATGTATCTGCGTTGGAGATGTCACCTCCTTTGTGCTAAGCTGTCATGGTTCATGCCCCTGGTATTTCTAAATGCGTTTAAATAGGCAACCTCCAAGCCAAAGTCCCAATGACCGGGAGTGCACAGAATAGGCTGATTCTATCCCTGACGCGATCCACAAAGCGCCACAAAGCTGCTGCGGGCTGCGGATGGCCTTTTATCGTGTTGGTCGTGGCAGTCCTGTAAACGCCCAAGTTCAGTGCAGTGTCTGGTTTGTACACACACTACCAAGGGAGGACGTTGGTCACTCTGAATCAAACTGAAAGCCTGCAGGAAAACAAGGATATGTGAGCAATGCTCAGTGCATCTTCTGACATTGATGCTGCTTGTTGGTTGGCTGTGGAATTCATCTTTTAAAGAGGATATGGTGCCATGCGTACACAGCAATTGAGACAACAACTTGTTGAGCGAAAAGAAAACAGCAGTTAGTCTGGTTGAACGTTCACTGCTCACCAGCAAGCCTATCTGGCCGTCATCTGCAGATCGTCGATTGGGCCGACTCAACTCGCCTCGATCCAAAACTTGGCATGATCAAGCAGCTGGATCTGGCCGGCATCTGGGACTGTGTACTTGCCGGGATGAAGGGAGCCACTCTTGATCTTCAACTGGCTGTAGGCCATATCCTTAACACTCAGTCACTCTCCACATCGCTTGTTCACACATTCAGGAAGCAACTTCCCAAGTTGTTTTGGACATGTGGTCCAACATGTTGATTTATGACCATTTGGTCGAAGTATGTTGCGCAAATTTGTTTCATCTACAAGTGCAATCACTGACCTCAACATAGATGAAAATCAATACAGTAAGGTGATTTCCCCCCTCCGCAAAGATGGGAAAACCTTCCCAACTCTTTTCATGAGAGACCCAACCAGCCTTCCTTACTATAGGACCCAATCCAAGGCCTTCTTCGTAGCCATTCAGTGATGATCTCTGGACAACGTCACGATCTTTCACCGGAGCTTCAAACCACGCGGGAATATCATTGGGAAAGACGATGAAGTCGAAGGCTGTAATCGTGAAGCCATTCCGTTTGCGCTCACGCAGGTCGCAACGGCCATTGTATTGGGCGTGGAACTTCACGAGAAATAAGGCAATCTGCGAGTGTCGCCGTGTTGGGATTCGGATCCATTTGGTTGGGATTTAGGATCCCAAATTGAAAGCCGTGCCAGATTTGGGACATCCGAACAAGTATGCGGGCGTTCGGCCGGAATGTGTGGAATCAGGCCCATCTGGGGTGAGGAGGAGATCTGGACCGGAAAGTCAACGAGAGCAACTCTTATACCAACACATTGTGTCTTTGTAAACAAAATATCATGACCTTTGGTCATGTGATCGTATAGCCATTGGATGCTAAGGTTCCATGTTTGATGGGAAAATAAATGCGAGCAAACCTGCAGAGCCGCCCTGTCTCTAAAGACAAAGATCTCACACCTTGTCCCAATCGAAGCCATGGTCAGTCTTCACAAAGATTTCCACATTGGCTGAGCCTAAGAATTCCCGGCCCAAAACGAAAGGCACAAGCCAATTTTCGCGGATGATGGTTTGGGCATCTCCCAAGCTGTCAATGCCGCTGACACCAGACCACACAAGGCGCCTGGAAGAAGCAGGGTATTACATGATTATCAAGAATTCGTTGTCAAGTAAGTTATTTCAACCACGCATTGGTTTCAATATCAAGAAAGGCTCGGGGCATGTGTCATTCAGCGGTGGAGGGGGCGTCCTTCGTGCGGATGGAAGGTCTTATGGAGGTGATTCCATGGCCTGCCTCCCATACTCCAAGCAGTTCTGATCCTTCTCATCAACACCCACAGGGTCAAGTGTGTACCATTTCCTCGGTAACCAGTGCACGTGGAGTCACCAGTGGATGTCAATTCCAGAGATTCATAAATAGAAATTACTGGCGACCCTTACAGAGATTGTGCGCTTTTGGGTGCATCTTTCGAAGTTCGGAACACCACCGACCTCCCTGGGTATCACGGATGACGGAAAGCGGAACTCCTTGCATTTGTGGATCATGAAAGACACACTGCTTGGAGAGCCCAACTCATCCAGCAATACAAAAAGCAAAGAACCGCCAAGGCTCCGATTGATAGCATTGCCTCCAACGCTCATGTTCACAAAGGGGGCATCCCTCCAACCCAGTGCCTCAGCTTGAACATAGGCATCCACCTGGCGGCATCAGCGGGAGTGTGAAGGGATGGGCGGAAAGGAACAAGGAGGTCCAAAAAGAAAGGGGCCCACATGCTGCTAAAAATGCTTATTTGCCACGCTGACTGCCATGCTTCCATGGACAAGAAGTCAACCCTTCTTGATTGACTTGGCCCCTGATACATATCCAGCCTATCACGGCTACTGGTACCTTTCACTCTCCAACAACTGACCCAATAAAGCCAAGAAGTGGGGTGATCAATCACCCACCAACCCCAGCTGTTCCTGCCCTTTGCACCCCTTCTGCTTTTCCCTTCACCCAACCTCCCCACCTCCTGCTGGGTCGTGTTGGCATTCGTGGCGTGCGACTTGCCGGTGACCTTCACGAGACGATTCTGTTGGGTCTCAAACTCCGCCTCGGTGAGGACATAGTTCGCCCCAAAGGCCACCTCGAGTCGATCCGCCGACGCCGGTTCCGGACCTGGGGGAGAGAGTGGTGGACGGCTCTAAGCGAACAAGAAGAAAAAGATTTCGGTCATTCTTCTGTTGGGGATCGGGTTCAACTATATATTGGCTTTCAATGTCTCGGATTGGTACTTACAGCACCTTGGACACGATCTCGTCCACTTCCGCTGCTATCTACAGGATTTTGACACCCCATGTGGGACTTTTCGATTGCTATTTACAGCTCTCCTGGCTCGCTTTGTTTGCTTGGTCAACCAAGCACGGACGGCTTCTGGGCATGACTGTGCGAAAGCTCGACGGTGGACGAGGTCACCTCTCTTGGCTCTCCAAAGCTTTTGTTAAGCCTTTGGTTCGTCTGTTCCCAGAAGGGGGGGCTTCTGCGGAAGCGGGCTTCACCATCAAAGCCGTGGGCCTTTGTCAGTCAACAAGCACAAACTTGAGACGTTGAAAAACTAAAATTGAATGTCTCAGATTGGAAGGCTCAAAGGACCAAATGCGATCCAAACGACATCAAAGGAACAACACGTTGAAATCAAAGACGAAACCACCCAAGAACAAGAACTAACAGTTCTGAACAGGGAAAACTAGTTTAAGGCAACAACTGTCTTTAGATCACATCAATGATGCATTCCCCGCTTTTGCAAGTCGAGACTAATAACTCAAACATCAAACCACAACAACCTCCACCTCCTTGTGACGTGGCTGTCATCGTGTGTCAGAATGTTTGTTTCACGTGATCGTGGTTGATTTCTCCAAACTGGTTTAAGTTTCTACCCTTTTGACACCGAGTCATACTCAGGACAAGGAGTTTGCTTAAACACCCTTCCTTCTGTGTCAATTGTTAATTCTTTCCAGTAGTAATTGCATGATGCACACAATACAGAGGCATCAAAACAGTATATGATGAGCTTTCTTACCACAACGTCGATTTCACTCAGGTCACTATTTACCTTGTCACTGCTTCCTCGTGGGTGCGAGGCGAACACCTGATGTGAGGCTTCCTAAGGTCAACGCTCCGTGCCCAATGCACCGTGCCCATGCACCGTGGCCTCCCAAAAGTTGTAATCTCCACGCTTTACCTCAACCACCTGCAGCGGATGCACAGGTGGTGAAGTAGCACCACTCGGGTTCGCGAAAACACCGACCTTTTACTTCAGCCAGAGACTTGGTTGCCCAAAAAGGAATCTTACTAGAAAAAGGATTGTGGAAGGACCGATGGTGTGGTGCAAGGTAGGTGGCAACCTGTCTTAGAACCGTTAGTTTCTGCGCGCAAACCACAGCCCCTAGACATATGGGATAGCATGAGTTTTTGACCTATGAAGGTGGGGACCAAACCCTGTGAACTTGCACCAGAAGGCTTGGATTGCTCCCAGCTATCCTTGAAGCTTGCGATTGGGGGCGCTTTTGGAAGGTGAAATCATCGCGAAGGCATTCGACCAATTCCGCCCCAAAAACGCATGGACCGCTGGCTGGTGGACGAGGTCGAGTCGCCTCTGCGAATCGGTTTATCCAACCCCAATATATATATATATATTGATATACATACATATATGCATATGTGTTTTATTGGGATAGTGTTTCTAGTTTATACATAGTGGTTTTGGGTTTAGTTTTCAATTTTCACCGTAGGACCTCTGTTGAGATTCGCGAAACGTCGCCTTGCCGGTGCCGCGCTCCACGGCTTGCAAGGCACGCAAATAGTCTATGAACCATCCATCCTGGTCGACCAGTGGGCGGGCAATCAAATTTGACCGAAACTCATGTGGTGTTCATATCCATTGTCATCTAATTATGTAACTTTGTTGGGATATTGAAAGGGGGATGTCCAAACAAGCTTGGGCAACTGGGGACAGGGTGCTTTCTTTTTTTGTGCACATCGCGACAAAATGAGTTCATCCAGAGGCAAATCCAAGATCACACTCGATGCATTTAACTAATTGATGGTTCGCTTTGCCTTTTCAAGTGAAGCTTTGGCCCTGTCACAATGATTCCATGGTATGTCACAAGATTCTGGTTTACTATCCAGCCTGAGCAGATTCCGAACCATGGGAGGGATTTCAAGACTGATTTAAATGCCCTTGAATATGAGATTGCATACCAATTGTCGATCCAAAACGAGATTTAAGAATCACATGTCTTCTCACAACAGTCCGATTGGTTTAAGTTGCTTTCTGGACTCTATATTTCTGGTGCGCCCGATCATTCAAAGTTTGAACACTCTGTATTGCTTGGGCAGTGTTTGGCACATCGACATTGTACGTATGAGTTTGCATTGCTCACACATCGACATTGAAGGTCAAACTGCACATAACAACAAATACGGGTATCGTTTTTTGGACATTCCATATCGGTCTCCACAGAAAACTTAAAATCATAGTCTGGGATGAAACACCTCGTTTCAAGTTTTGAAGACGACTCATTTCCATTGAAGTGGATCGAAAGACTGTGGATGGTCCCTCACGGCATGGACAAACAAACAATTGACAGGCTACACAAACTGACAGCTAAAAATATATATATACTGTATAATGTAAATATTTATTCAGTATAGATAAATCCGACATAGACAGCCTATCCCATGGAAAATCCTTGGGTGCACACAGTGGTCAAAGAAAACAATCCCATTGATCGTCGGCTGGTCGCGATTGTCGTTCAAAACTCGGCCGGTGCCCCAAAAACAACGCCCCCAGGTCCGTTGGGCCTTGAAGAAGCCGTGTGCTGCGACGCGCACCGAGGCGCCAATGGACATTTGATCGAAGGCTGGACGATCCATGGGTGCCTTGGAAGCTGAAGAACTCGGGGCAGTGACCGGAAGGCGGTGGAGGGAGGGAAGATGGCTTTTGGGTTGGAGGGGAGGTGAGTGGAGCCTTTGTGACTTTATCAATTCGGCTCTGCTTCAAAGAGTTTTGCTTTGGCCAAACGACCGATTCCGAAGACCATTCTAAAAAAAAGTGGAAAACTTCAGTGTGATCTTCATGTTACAAGTATTGAGGATGATAAAAATCGTTTTTACTGTCCCGTGTGGCATATTCATGTTGCCCAACTGCAGCAACTGAGGTGCTCTGTTCTTCTCCCAGAGCACATGCATCACCTCGCCCCACAGCATACCCGTCCGGACTCGAACAGTATCATCCTTGGAACAGCAGGAGTTCAAGCCAATGGGTGATGGTGTTTCGGGTTTGCCATCCTGTTCGCATGCCCAATGATCATGGTGTGTCGCAAGTTTCCGATGCACCAATATGATCTGAAAATTGCGGACATTTTGGTGTAGACATGCCAATTTCTCAACCACGTTCATAATCATCATGTGTACAGATGTGATTTGCTGCAACCAAGTGCTAACGTGCAGGCATCACCCAAAGGCATGCAACAAGCATCAAAACATGTTCATCACCACACGTTTCATCTATTGCCCACACATCTTCTCACGCCAACAGCCCAGGAACAGACATGGAGACCACGCCGGACCAGAATGCACCCAAAGCGATGATCTTCTCTTCTGGCTGAGCATACTTAATGGCTGTGTGGTAGGCCCAACATTCACCAACTGCGAAGGCAGGATTGGGCCCCTGCACATGCACAGCGCGGGGCCGGGAAAGCGAACAGGCTTGCGTAGGACCATAAATGCACCACAAGACCCAAGTCCAGAGGTTTTCAGGAGGCAGAAAAGGCCCGGCCAGTGCATGGACTTTTTCCTTCATGAATCAACCGTCAATCCCTCAATGACTCAGCAAAGCTGTACTTGCACCATGAGCCACGTATGGCATCAACCGAAAACCATCATCGAACCGTTCAATTTGACTACTTGGATGACATACAGTAACTAGTTTGGAAAGCCTTTGAATCCAACAGATAGCCCACACAGCCAAAACAAGCATCGGCAAATATGGAAGAGAACAGTACACTCCTGAACCTACCAGCTTACCACACTCAAGTGAATTCCCGCTTGTTCCGCTCTTCATGACTGCTCGGAAGCCGCAATAACTTTTTCTAACCTCGTAAAGGCATGGGGGAATCGAGCTTGGGTCAAACACAAACTGACCAAAGGTGAGGGATACTCTCGTCGGAACTGCCCCCCACAAGGGTTCCCATAGCACGAAAATATTTTGAGGAGGCAACCGATTTTTCTTCTCTCCTGAATGCAGGAAAAGAACTTTGCCAGATTGAGTAGCCACTTGATCAATAAAGACACTAACCTGAACCTGAAATTATGACAGGAGCGCCCCTTAATGCCACTGCCAGACGTCCGAGTTCATGCCCTCATCAGGCCATAAGGCGCAAACTGCTCAGTCAGGACTCAGTGTGCTGGCGACTTGTCTGGAAGAGAGGAAGAGAGGAGGCAGGCCACTTGGACGACATCTAACCACGCTGCTAAAACCACGCTCGCACACATCCAGTGCTCGAGCGGGCATCGACTGTTATTTGATCGAATTTTCACAGAACGTGTATTCAAGAAGAACTCAAGGACAAACACGAGCGCGCAACCGTCAAGGTGAGTTTGAGTAGGGCAGCAAGTATGTTCAACTCTGCGCGTGAACATTAGCACAGTCGATGAAAGCCACAGTCATGAACATCACTGCACCAAAGATACCCTGAACACGTTGAGGTTCTCTGTGCTCGGGCATGCCCGAGCCGCCAGAAACGTAGAAACAACCAATAGGGAAACCTTGCGGGCACCTCAGACCGACAGCTGCCAACTCGGCCCTCACCCTCGTGCGAGCTTCAATCGAAAGCAATCGTGCTGAGATTAACATCTGAAATGAAGCCAGGGGTCACGCTAGAGAGGTCCATATGCACGACCGCAGGCCTGACTCATCAGCAAGCGCATCGAATGGGTTGATCACTTCAACTTCAACCCTCACATGTGACTCTGGCTGGCGCCATAACACTTCCACCAAGGCCTCCAAGCTTTGCCACCACCGGTTGAGCCAGCCTCCCTCGACCATGACTTCATTGAGAGGGTCATGGCACTGCGCCCCCTCCTTCTGACAGAGCGGGCTCTCCAGGACCAGACCATTGGCTCCATTGGACTCTACTGCGATCTGCGAGGCCCTTGGCCAAGGTCCACGGATGGTAGAGGAGGCATCATCGCACTTGTTGGCAACATTGCGCTTTCACCTTAGGAGCCGCTTTGGCTTGAACAGCCTGGGCAGCTTTCGCATGACCCTGAGACGCCATTAAACCTAGCTGAAAAGCGCTTTTGCCTGGCAAGGCTCGAGCGGCGTTCTTGAGCCAAAATGGCACCAATTGGTGTATTGATCAATGGAACAATGAATGAATTAACGAATGAACGAAGGACTGAATGGATGAATGAACAGTAGTTCTGAAGGGACCCCTCATGGCCAGACCTACCTTACCCACACACGAGCTCCATGACCAATCAATAGTGGTTTCAATATCTACCACACTACTCAGATGACAGCCAATTGGATAGATCAGCACCAAACTCATTCTCATCGACTCATTCAAGACCTGTTCATGCTTGGTGGTCATAAAAAGAGCATCTTTTCCAGAACAACCCCAAATTCCAAATCCACCATCATCCACCCTGATGTTCAGTGACACATTTGGGCCTGGTATGTAGTCTATCCATTGATAGGGGGATCCAAAAAATCGAACATAGGCTGGGTCGACGCCTGAACAGAGCGGACCCCCGTGCGCCGACCGGGTGCCTTGCAAAGCTCGATGATCTTCTCCAAGGTGTCAGGCTCGGCGACGGGCCACACGCCGAGTCGCAACCGGCGGCGGCAGCCCTGAGCAATGCTGGCATACAGCAGCCAAAGACCCAAGAAACCTTGCTTGGGCGAGCAGGCAAGCTTGACGGGTGCAAGCTGGGTTTCTGAGAGGATCCTTAAGTAAAACACCAGCTGCTGGTTGACAGCCACGGAGAGAAGAAAAAGATATATAGTAAACACATGCACAACTCCGGAACTGTCGAGGAATGGACGCGAAGAGTCTTCAATAAAGTTCTTCTATCATACTCCAGGACGCCTCATGCTTGGTACAGTCAACCAACATAAAATTGTTTGGTTCTCAAGTGAGGTGCCCATAATTGCTCCAAGCACCACCCAAATCCATGAGGCTGATGGTAAGTCCTCCCGATAGACGATCAGCACAGGACAGACCACAGATAAGATGATGGCAAGGCAAGTTCCAATGGGCGCATTGAAGCATGGGTCCCACCTGCATCGTCCATAAACTGATTAGCTGGCGATTCGAAAAAGAATTCATTCAACCTGCTCAAGGGGGTGTTGTCTCCGGGTGGTGTGTGCCAGTGTCCGTTTTTGAGAGAAAAGGTTCCTGGGGCAAATCCTTCTTGAGACATTCCCTTTTTTTGTTTCAGCGTTGCTGCAGTCCACTTCTGAGAGGTTGAAGGATCCAAAGTCCGCAAATACGCTGTAGCTTCAGATGGTTGCCAACGACAGGACATCATAAAGAACGCACCAACTGTTTGGGAGTGCTCACCTTCTACAAGAAAGGATGACCTTTGAAACCAACATAAATTGCTATTGCATTGTGCAATTTCATTGATGTCAGGTGTTTATGTCTGCATCCGGGGGATGAGCAAAGGACCCACCCCCTCGTGCTCTTAAAGGAAGGAAATCAAACTTATTCAATCCAAGGCCACTACGCCTGAATGTTGGTAGTCAATTGAAACTGAATTGCATCAACTGCCCGCATTCTCCCATGACCTACGCGTCCCTTCATATTTAATGTGCTGTGGCTGAAGTTTATCATTGGAACCTCATCCTTTTCCTGGGTAAACCATCCGACACCAGAACATGCCACATGCGAAGACCGACGCTGGTGGCCCTCGAGTGATGCACCGCAAAGCTTCGTCCCATCCAAAACACTGGGACGAAATCGTTGCGTCGATCACGGAGAGAGCGGACTTTCCGCATGCACCAAGCAGCTTCGTGTTGGGAGAACCCAGCAGCTTCGTTACAACCGAAGACCGAGATCAGTCATCTGAGGTTTCCTGTGTAGTACAAACCCATGCCACAAAAGTTTTCCCTGAGTGAATTGATGAACGCTGATCACCTCTCTTGTCCAGCTGGCCTTACACAAGACCGCTGTCCATGTGTTTGCTCCGGTGCCAATGGCTCGGACATGGCACAACCAGCACTGATATTGCCAGGTTTGTGACAAAAAATGCCATGATATCCAACCAACAGGTACTACTGGAAAGTGAATTGCAATGCCAAAAATACGGTCATCAACATGGAGATCTACGCGGCCAAAATCTCTGCATTGAAGAGGTGGCATGTAAAGAGCAGTAGAGCGCTTTTCTTGTGGCTCTGTGACACAGTATCAACGTAGCAAAAAGAAACAATATGTTTGATAAGCAGTGAATCAAAAGTCAACACGTTTTCCTCAATTAAAGCTCACAAAACGTTCATCATCAGCCAATCAATTGGAACACTTTTTACATCCCAACAGACCACAACACAATCCTGCAACATCGAAGTTGCATCTCAAGGTTGGTAACACGGCTTTCCTCCTGAACTAACCATCGCGGAGAATTGTACACGTTCAACGTTTGTGAAGGTATGGAAATACACCGCTCTAGGTGTCAACACGGTGTGGAAATGCGGACGCGACCGTTTTGCGTGCCAGTTTGAGGGCAAGGGGCCCCTGATGGACCAGAGGTTCATTGAGCACGGGTGGCGATGTCCATCGCACTGTCAAAAGCACAACTCACAATTGGGCGGCACCCAATTCACACCGGTGTTTGGCCTCTCGCTGCCCGCAGAACACGCAGTTTTGCACGAGTCGAGCCGCCATTCATGCAGGAAGTGCAGGTCAGCTTGTGCAATTTTGAAGAGTCTCCATCATGAAAGGGTGCCAAACAACAAAAACAAAAAACACAAAAACAACAAGCGCCCCAAAACCAAACAAAACCGACAAAGAAAGCACAATGATGGAGACTCTTGGATGTGCATGCAAGGGTGAAACAGACATTGGGCAATGAATTACTGCAAAAGGCCACAAGATCGGCTGTCCGAAATGTGGTGATTGCTGGCAACGTGCACTTCGTCTCTAGGCCTGCTTAAGCAGGCTTTCTCACCGAGCAACGGCTCCAGGGCCCTTTTGTGCCCTGTCTCGGTGTTGTGCACCATCGCACACAGACCTGAACAAATTCGAGCGTAGACACCCGGGCACGCATTCTGTGAAATTGTTGCGCCACCCGTGCAAGGGTTTCCTCGGATTCATGCTGCACATGGAAAAATCACCGGTGAAGATGCTGCCGCGCCAAGCGAAAGAACGGGCACCTCTACCACCGATGCTGCCATGCTTACCTGCCCTTCAAGCGTCAGCCAAGTTGCAGCTTGCGTTTGGCGCCATCTGTCCTCACGAAAGATTGCTCAAAAGGAGAGGGAATGCATGGGTGTCCACATAAGCAGAAATCACGGCTGCTTCCATGAACGGCGACGAAACGCGATCGCGCGCCCAAATAGCTGCGGATACAAGCAGTCAGCTAGCACAGCAAGCACAGCGAGCTTGAACCACACACAAAGCAAAATAGAATAGAAATTTGCATTCTCTCTGAATCTCCAGACCTCCATGGCTTTGCCAATAAGACCTTCCGATCTCCGATTCCGATCTTCTCTTCAAGAGACATTCGACCGACCTCGACAACCTCAGACTCATCAAAATCTATCCAATTCCTCTGACCTTCGATATTCAACGCTCTTCTCAAAAGAAAACTTCGAAGAGTAAGACAAAAGACACTCTCTCTTTTCGCGACGTCCTCTCGACTTGATCGACGAAATCTGTGCTGCCAAGGAGAGAAAACACCCATCACGGTGATAGATCCATCTCGGGCCTTTCTCAATCCGGCAGCATCCGCTCATGCATGTCCAGCCTCACTCCTCAGAAACCGAACGAAGTATCGAGCAAACACACGGGTGTACCGTTCTGTCTCTGTCCAAAATTGACATTGTTGAAAGCTGCGTGCTCGACAATGCACTGACTTTTGAATCTTTCCTCTAACATATTTGCAACTTCTTTCCGGTTTGACATAAACCTGAACCTCTTTCCGACTGGTTGTTGACTCTTGGTAAACATCTTCATTGAACATCCGTTCACGATGCCTTCAACCTCTAGACGCTGGTTCGACAAGACCTTCCTCAAGACCTCTGACTTCCAGTACTGATTATTGGCTGGTAGTTCTAAACTCTTGGATGCCTGGCCATAGACTTCATCCACCTTCTTCAAAAGACAATCGACTGAGTTAGCTAGTTCCTCGAAGACTTCCACATGCCTCTCTCTAGACTGTTGACGAAAGTTCAAAATCGGACTGCCTCCAGTACACGGTAGAGAAACATGAACATGAATCTTGGTTCCGCACTCAGATCGACGGTGGGCCTCTGGCTCGATCCTGCGTCCCTGACAACAGAAGAGATAAGTTCAATGATCTCTCTCTGAACTGCCTTTTCCTGAAGACAATCATGACATCCGATATAAGAGACTCCAACCTCCATACAAGCCTGCCTCAGACATGAGTTTCGACCACAACACAATTCGACAAAGACCATGTCACGACCATGTGTGTATGAAACTGCTGCTAAAGACGTTGAAGGCTGCGTTGATTGACACCTGCCTGGGCGGCTTCGCAGGCTCGATCGGAACACCAAATAACGGTCGTTCATGGATCTCTCAAGTACAGAAGTTACTGAGATCATGGGTTCTGCCTTTGCACACTGTAAACACTTGCAACACCTAAGGCTTCCGCATAAACTGCGAATAATCGAGCAGGAAGCTTTTCTCAAGCGCACTTCGTTGAAAGAAGTCAGTGTTCCACCCACGCTGCTCTATATTGCAAGACGTGCCTTCGCCGGCTGCACACAGCTCTGCCAATTTCAAAGAGTAGGAAAATGCGTGACCTGGAGGGGAACATACTCCAGGGCTAATGCGTTTCTCAAGTGTGACAATCTTGACATGCCAAAGTGGGTTCGCTTGTTGCCACTTAATCGGAAAGATGAGGACAAATGGGCAGATGACTCCTACGCAGTCCTCAATTAGTGGTAAGTGTCTAGAGCTGCATGCTGCCGAGCCTTTCAGCTGGCACCCGCGCGCTGGCCCTGTCCATATCAGAGGCCACCTCTCTAGAGTACCCTAACGAGATAGCTGCCCATCAAAGCAATTCTTTTGTACACCTTCTGGGAATGTGCCAGTGACCAGGACCAAGACAACCACAGGACCAATAGGAAAACTCTGCCACACACGGCCACTAACAGTGGCATCTACCCTGCACTAATGCTGCTCAACAGCGCAAGCTCGACAGGCAGATTAAGTAAGCATATATTGTCCAACACCTCAATGCTAGCCTTTCAGACTAGCACCCGTGTGTTGGTCCTGAGAGTGCCATTACGTTTTGCCCTCCAAATTTGCTAGCCTAAGTAGCTAGGCAGTGCCCAGGCTGCTATCCGTGTAGCGGCGCTGGATGGGTATAGTGTACAGATATAGGAAAACGGCTCACCCATTTTCGAGTAGTTCATGGGGCTGTGCACGTACTGGCCGATCTGGCCTGGCCACTACTGAGGAAAGATGCCATGTGCTTGATTGCTGTGTCACTGAGAGGAATGATGCCCAGTTTCGCTGCCAAGCAGGAGTGTCTCTCGCTCTACTCCCGTTGCTAAGCCGTTTTGGAGTCGGTGCGGGATTGACACTCTCTCTTTTGCCTCCTCCCCCCTTGCGGGGAGGAACGGGGCATGCTGCTGTCTAGCGGCTCATGATGTTTATCATTGCATGGTGGCAATCACACTGCTCCTTACCTTTCGGCATTTTGGAGATTCCGATCGCAAGTGCAGTGGTCTTCCCCAAATTGCCACATCACGCCAAACCTTGAGCCCCTGGTCATTGTGTGCAGCAAAGCAACCCAGCCGACATCCAGTCTGTCCCATTTTGATCTAAGGGGACCCGCTGTCGGTCATCGCTTACATGACGCACTGATGCCTTTCAAGTGCATTGCAATGACATGGCTTGTCAACTTATCAACTTGTCAGTGCCTTTGCCTACTGAGGGAGGCCTCAGAGTGCTTCCCGTCACTAGGACAAAATTCCTGGCTTTGCCTTGAACGACGCATGCAGTAACAAAGCAGCAACAAGGTTGTTGAGGGACAAGAAATACTGAGAGTTTTGTGGAATTCATTGCCCCTGTCTCACCTCTTCTCATACGGCCTCCATGGCCACACGAGTTGCGCAACAGGTTGCTTCCGCTTTTGGGGGTTTGGTCATGTTTTGTTGTGTTTTTTGTGTGTTTTGTTCCTTCGCTTGATTGCAACCTGTATAGTAACTCCCTCTTCACTCGACCAAGGTGACTTGTGCAGAACCTGCACACATAGCGCCTCGACTCGTGCAAAAAGAAAACTCCACTCGTGCGCAAAAAAAACTCGTCCGGACAAGCCAGTCCCTCCTCTACGATGTAGAGACAACGTGCATGCAATGGAGAACACTTCCCAGGCCACACCAAGGAAAGTGGGCTTTTGTTTGGGTGTGCGCCGATGCCTGCATCAACTGGAACGGAAGCCAAAGCAGCAACGGTCCAACCCGCGCAGCCAGCAGCAACGCCTGGGATGCCATCTACGTCAGCCACAGTTGTGCAAGGGCAGCAAATTAAATGTGTTTGGCGTGTTTGGGAGCTGGATTGGTCCAGCTGCAGTTGCAGACAACGTTCGCAGGCCGCTGGTCCAATCCATGTAAAGTTTGGAGGCAGGACAGTGAGGTTATTCGCGCCTCAAGGAAGCAGCACTCTGGCAGGCAACGTGTCAAATTGGCAGGGTTGTACTCGGACTGTCCCAAATCGAGGTGTCGCAATGCAGTGGCCAAACACCACCGAACAGGAAACACACAAACAAGCAAACAAAAAACACAAACCCAAGTGCGCTACCGGGGTCGTCGTTGTGGTCGTAGGCTCCCCATGTCCTGCGTAGTGCGGACGCCATGTGGGCGGTGTGCCCAGGTCATCATTGAAGGAAGGGAAACACTACATGATGATGAGGTAAGACACCAGAACACAACCAAAAACCAGCTACCCAAACAAACAACAAAACCAAAAAGCACCACAAAACAAACCACAACCAGGCCAACCCAGAACCCCATCAAAACAGGTAATGTTTCCTCTGTACGGGAGTGAGACAGGTGAGACGAGTAGCTGCGTACTA